TTTTCTAACCCTATCCTACCCGATCAGGTGTAGTATTCCTACCCGATTAATCGGGTAGGAAGGCGGATAAACACTTTTATAGCTATTAATTTTTGAATCATTTTAACAATTTAATTAAATAATAACATGCACCATGTTAACAACACAATAAATCAATAATACTAAAATCTAAAACAATTACAACAACAATTATAATTGTTTTAGCCATCAATCCACCATAATTGTTACAAATACAATCCACTATAATTGTTAAACAAATACAATCCACCATAATGGTTACACAAATACAATCCACCATAATTGGTACACAAACACAAATACATTAAAATCATAACTACTTCGCCTGTGACAGTTCACCAGTTCACCACAAATCATGTAACCTACACAAAAAATAAATTAATATTTTAACAACTCAAACATCCACAACAATAACAAATACTCTTATAATTACTAAAAAAAATATAAAAAAGTTAAATAACACTTTTTTTGCTATTGTCATTCACCTCTCTTCACTCGAGAGAAATTGAAATTGTCTCTGCAATTATTTCTGAGATAAAAAAGAGTATGAAAAAAAATTAGATACGAAGAACTTATCAACAAATAATAAAAAAATAACAATAAAAGTATAAAAACCTAAATCTAGTTTATAGCTTTCTGAATCATCCAAAACATCTTCAAAGTCATAAGCAATGGATGACGATTGAAGCCAATTTTGTGCACATATGAGACCCTCAATTGTTTTGGGTGCCAGACAACTCCGAAAAGGATCTAAAATACGACCCCCAGTGCTAAAAGTTGATTCTGATGCCACCGTAAAAATGGGAATAGCTAACACATCGCGAGTTATTTTGGCAAGGATTGAGAATTTAGAAGAATTAACCTTCCACCAATTCAAAATATCAAAATTGACGCTAACAAATTCAACATCCTCCATCAAATATCGATCCAACTCTGATTTGTTATTCACATTACCTTTCTCAGCCCTATACTTGCGGTACTTATTCATGAAATTTGTAGGTACTTGATCTTGAACAGATATCTCAGTCGAAAACACATTTTTCTCATGATCAACACTTGACCCCACTCCACACCCCACACTAAATGTAGTGTACTGTTGGCATAATCGGTCAATGACCCTTTTGATCTTTTCAACTAATTGAACCTTAACTACTTCATCCTTAGCCTTGTAATTGTCATTGAGCCAAAATTCTAAAGCATCCAATTTATAACGTGGGTCAAGGACAATAGCAACAAACAACATCAAATTAATATTATCTAAATGACTCCAATACGTATTATACTTGCTTTTCATTCTCATAGCCATGATACTCAAAAGATAGTCATCATCTTCACAATAACCTTGCAAATGATCATACACAATAGAAAGTTCTTGAAAAAACAAGTTAGATGTGGTATACAATGATCCAGAAATGCGCAAAGTGATTTCATAGAAAAGTTTCAAAAACTTCATAAACACACGAACAATGTCCCAATCATCAAATGTAGGTGACCCTAAACCACCCCCCTCACTCAATTGACTTACAAATTGTCCATCATCTTCTTGAAACAAATCAAATGCACCTTGGTACTGTTCAACAATTTTGAACATCAAATATGTAGAGTTCCATCTCGTTGGAACATCAAGACAAAGAATACATTTTTCACCAATTTTTTGTCTCTCAACACATGATTTAAACTTGTCAAGCCTTGAAGGAGAAGACTTCACATATTTAACAGCATTTCGTACTTTCAAAATTGATGTGTTCACTTCCTTCAAACCCTCCATGACAATTAGATTCAAAATGTGTGCACAACACCTAACATGCATAAATTTATTTTCTAAGATAGTGCTCTTCCCATCCTTAGTTCGCCTCTTTAAATATTCAAGAGCACCATCATTAGAAGTAGCATTATCCACTGTAACAGTAAATATGCTATCTATCCCCTACCCAAGCATGCATGCTTCAAGTTTCCTTTCAATTGTCACACCCTTATGATTAGGAACTTTCAGAAAATTGATTATTCGTTTGTGTAACTTCCAATCTTTATTAATGAAATGTGCAGTTAAGGACATATAAGTTAGATTTTGAATAGACGTCCATGTATCAGTAGTAAGACAAACCCTTTGACTAGATGAGACAAACATATGCTTCAATTTTTCTTTCTCCATCATATATAATTGCAAACAATCTCTCATCACAGTGGTACGGGAAGGTATACGAAATCTAGGTTCAACAGTCCTCATCAAGTCTCTAAATCCTTCTCTTTCAACAAACCGGAATGACAATTCATTCACTATAATTATTTTAGCAATTGCCTCCCTAATTTTCTTTACATGGAATTTAGCAACACTAAGGTCACTACTAACACCATCTCCATCTTTTTTGAATGCACCAATTAACTTGAATTGAGATATGTCCTTATTCACACTTGTCAAATAAGATTTACAACGATCTAAATGATAAAGCAAGGATGAAGTACCTGTTTTTCTTGCGTGATAATTATAAATCTTACTACAATGCTGACATTTAGCTTCATCTCCAGCTTCAATCTTTTCAAAATGCTTCCAAACTCTAGATCTTTTTTTTGTATCTTGTCCCTCAATCTGAATGTCATCAGTAACTTGGATGTTACTGTTAGAATCAGCTTGAGCAGATGATTGTGGAGTAATTTCATCCATAAGGAAAGGATCTGTTAACAAAACAAAATAACAAATTCAGAACAACAAATTCAGTAAAGTTCTAATAGAGTCCACAATACCCAAAAGAACTTCTCTAGTGCCTAGTGGTGATAACCCCAGGCTAAGGGACAAGATTCAGTACCTGCACTTTTTAATTAATAAAACTATATCACTTGTTTAATTTTATTTTGTGATTTTTCAAACAATAGTTTTTAGATCATCTAATTCAAAATATGATCAAAATGTGGGGCTGCAAATCCAATTTTCCCATCCGAAAGCAAGAATCTCATATCCAAGCAAAATGCAAAGTGCAAAGTTCAAAGTTCTGTTCAACAGACTGTTGTTCAACAGACATAAAAAAGAAGTTCCAAAGTCCAGGATTTAAAAAGGATACCATTGGAAAAAAGAGAGAGGGTAATAATGGAACCTAGTTATAATTACTTAAGCCAAAGATTCTAAAATGGACTTTTTGGCCTAAAAAAGTCCATCCACGAGGTAAGCCAAACACACCCTAAATTAATTAGATAATCTTCAGGATTTAACATCCACCAGATACAATCAACATGATCAATAATGCAGGAGGAAAACAATTGTTAAGTTATAAGTGCACACATTATTATAACTGATCCCTGAAACATGGGTAAGATTTTCCAAGTTGAAGGTGGATGATGGGCTGTAAATGCCTTAACTATGCCAAATACCTAGAAAGAAATTTTAAAATGTGCGCATGTACTTATAGAACGTTATCCATACTTATTCTTCTTTACAACCACAATGAATATATACAAGCTCTCAATTGGGAAAGAGAATTGTACCGTCCAGGACAGCTTGAGGCAGAGGGAGCTAGAAACTGTTTGAATTGCACAAGTCCCCCAGCCCCCACAAAAGCTTGCTTAAAGCAGTGAACCATGGATACCTTCTCTGAGATCTGAGATCAGACAGTCCAAGCCACACCAGATCTGAGATTGCAATCAGATTAGACGGTCCAGACCAGATCTGAGATCGCGATGCGATCAGACCAGATGGTCCAGATCGCGGAGAGAGAGAAAGAGAGAGAAAGAGAGTACCTGAAGTGAAGGTTGAAGGTCCTTAACAATGGAGGAGCTGAGGAGGAGCAGTGGGACTGTGACTGAGGCGCCTCTCAAAGGATGCCTTCAAACAGATGAGTAGATTGTTAGCAATTAGGGTTTTTTATTTTATATATATTTATTTAAAAAATTAATTAAATTAATTAATGCGGGTAGGGTAGGGTAGGATAGGAATGTGGAAATGAATGGCTATTTCGCATTCCCACCCGATTTAATCGAAAGATCAAAAACTCTTCCGCATTCCTACCCGATTTTTGCGGCTAGCCGATTTTTAGAGTAGGGTAGGGTAGAAAATTGCGGCCGGTCGGAAATTTGAACACCCCTATCTCTGAGGTTGTCAACGATTTGGTGCAAATCAGTTTGACTCCGATGCAAATTAGTCATCTCAAACGATACTATGCAAATCAACCGTGTGTTCTAATAAAAAAAAATTAAACAAAGATTTTGCGTATCGTTTGTATTGATCGATACGTATCGTATCGTACCGTACAAACGTATCGCGTTTCGGACGATACTATGCAAAAACGATACAAAACTCCGATTCGTATCGTTTTACCTATGTATCGTGACGTATCGTACGATACATATCGCGTATCGTACGATACTAATAATTATGATCATCAATCATCTCATTGGCAACAAGTGCCTCATCCAAAATTCGTTTTCCTCTTACAGGCCCCTTGAGAAAAAGAAATGGTTTCACGTAAACACTCCTAAGCCTTAGTGAAAGGAACTTAGCAAGAATCTTGTACAAACTAACAAGACTAATGGGCCTAAAATCCTTCACCTTAAATGAATTAACGTTTTTCGGAATAAGACAATTATAAGTGGCTTTTGTAATTGCATTCACCATCCCATTATGACAGAATTCCCCAACACCCTCATCAAATCATCCTTGACTACATCCCGGCCAAATCTTATTTTTGAGCCAAAGTTTAACGGATTTATACTAATAATGTATTACAACGCATTAAACATACCAGTTTGCACACCACATCCTCCAAACAAGAGTGATGGCAGCAAGTCGATAGCTCATGTAAGAGCATGACACTACTTATGTCCTAATGGGGTTAGAACTCTTGGTGTCATATGATGTGACTGTTAATCCTTTTCACCTCAAAATTTTAGATAGTATTAGCATGCATATTTTTTCTTTCTTTCTTTCTTTCTATCTTTTCTTCTGTTCACGGCAGTGAAGAAGGTGGATCACTGAGTGACTTTAATGGCCATCCATGGTAAGTTTTTTGGTTTTCCAAAGGCTTAAGTCATGGAACGGCGGCCCTGGTATTTGCAAAATCAACAGCTAAATAATATGAAGTGCTTTCTAAAATTCTACAATGGAGAAAAAATTGAAAATATATGTTTTTTTGATTTGCTTTACCATTGTTCTTTATCTGAGTTCAAATATTTTCTTTCTTAGGGACCCAAGTGAACCTGCCGGAGCTCCATCTTGCTAACAGACTTGATCGTGACACAAGTGGTGTAATGGTAATCACCAAATCACACAAAGTAGCCGGTAAGCTTGTGAAGGCTTTCACGGACCACAAGGTTAGGAAAACTTACATTGCTTCGTGTGTTGGATCAACTCCACAATGGGGAAAAATCACCATTAAATCAGGTCATGGTCGATCAAAGTTTGGAGCCTGGCGTGTGTATGCTGCATCAGATGTCGGTCAGACACTACCAGGTGGATCAGTTGTTAGAGACATGGAAACATCATTTGAAATATTATCAGTAAATGGTCAGATGCCTTCTGGATCAGAAAAAGATGTTGGAAATGTTTTAGTTGTTGAAGAGAAAAATTTAATCGATTGTGATGTGAAGAAAGATGAGATTCTGGTAAGAGCATATCCTCGAAGTGGAAGAACACATCAAATTCGCTTGCATTGCCAGTACCTTGGAATTTCTATACGGGGAGATGTGAAATATGAGGGTGTCTATGATTGGAAAGGGAGAACTTATGATGGTCATGAACTTCATGCGGAGACTCTATCTTTTGAGCACCCTGTTACTGGTGGACCTGTTCGGATTGAGGCACCTTGGCCTATGTGGATGAGCCAAGCATTGCAGCCATTAAAGAGAGGCTTACACAGGTAGATTGATGTAATTTGTTGAGTGAATACAGAAAAATATTGAATTAACACTTCGGCTTTTGGCCTAATACACAACCAATCTAATATTCGTACGACACCATAACCAATGTGAGCTCATAAAGTACAGAACTAAAAAGGCTGCGCAACAAATGATGGAAGATATCTAAGTTGTACAATGTGAACTTGGAAAGCCAACAGTGTTAACATGAGATTGACTACAAATTTTTCCCAGTTGGATGTGGTCAAAATGCATTAATAACCATCACACTTGTTTAATGCGTTTATTTAGCTCAAATCTTGAAGATATTAGTACATTTATTTAACGAGTTATGCTATATAAACTTAAAAAGTAGATATAAGTGTTTTGTGGAGAATGTTAGCTTATTGTTTTCCAGTTTTGATTGATCAGATTCAAATTTAGATCATATTTGATCAAAATTCAACTTATTGACAGGCCTATTTTGGATCATTGAAATGAAGCCAAGAATCTGTAGATTTTTGCAGCAAGGCTGGGATGGGAAAGGTGGCCTGCCAAGGGCTGCCCCTTAGGTTTCCACCTTTGGATATCCATCAGGTGGGATGAGTTACAAGGATCACCCAATGCTTTTCAGCTCCAAACTATCGTCTGTTTGGTTTGAGGGAAAATTGGATAGAGGGAAAAAGATGGAGGAAAAGTGGATAGCAAAGAGAGGTTTTTATTTGTTTGGTTGTCAAGTAAAATGGGGAGGAAAGGAAAAGGGGATGGAAAAGACAACACTCTCGCACGCCATTTGTAATCCGCCCAAATTTGGGTGGAAAATGGATGAAAATGTACTGACACATGATGTCAATGGTTAGATTTACCATTATTCACATTAAATTGGTAGTTATTTTTAAAATTTATGATATAAAATAGAGCAAACTTCAATAAATATATTTGACAGTCTTGAATAGACTCGTTTAACAGTCACAAATATCCCTCTCAGAACTATCTATATTGAATTTCTTTCATTTTTTACTCAAAAATCATCATTTTTTCCTTTTGTTGTACTGTGTTTTTAGACACGAGTTACTTCTAGTCTATAACATAAAATAGGGCAGAATTCACTAAGTTCATTTGACGGTCTCAAATAGACGTATCCAATGACTATTAATATTCCTCTCAAAATTATTTGTATTGAATTTTTTCTCTTTCAAAATTCATCACTTCTTACTTATATTACACCGTTCTTTTAGATACAGATTACCTCTAGTAACAAAATATTTCAAAACATAGATGGGGTTCACATTATTTTATTTTCTCTAGACAAGCCAACATAATAATGGGATCCATGAGATATTTTTAACTCTATTTTATAACTACATTAATAAAAAATTATTTTATTTTTTCATCTTTCGTATCAAACAAGGAGGAAAAACATATTTCATTCTTCAAATGCTTGAAAATGTTTCCATCATATATTTTTTATCTATCTTATTTTTTATCCATTCTGTCAAACATGAGTAATGTTATATGAATTTAATTTCATATAATCAATAAATTAGTTGTTTACAATTGATTAAATCCTCAAATTAGGTCTAAATAATATTTTTTCACCAAATATACAACTAGTGTTTATTACTCTAGATCAAGCCAAGACGCATTGATGATTTGACTCTATTTTAGATTCATTATAAATTGTTGGCGGCCATGATGACTCTAGTTTAGATTCATTGTAAATTATTGTTGACCATGATGACATCACTATGAAATCCATCGTGTTCAGCCAAAAACATTTGAAAGGAATGGTAGAGGACTTGATTTCGGGATTCTATTCAATGTAACTTGTTAGGAAAAATATTGGAATTAGCGAATTTTGTGTGGTTATTATGTATCTTGTATCTCAACTAAATTCATGGTCAAACGACTAATAAAGATTGAAAATCAAAATAAGATATGGTGAGGAAACTTAAGTTGCATTGCTATAACTGTGAAGACTTCTTGGGTCATATCAAGCTTAAGTGAAGTGAAGTTTGACATAGATGCCTAGTTGTCTTAGTTTGGTTTAACTTGGATGTTAACATTAAATTTAGAGTGCAAGTACTAATTCATTCACGACTCGTGTGATTTTGTGTTACAATATTTTTGAAACTTTAAGGTTTTAATTTTTGAATAACAGTTTTTAAATGATTCATTGGATGGGGGCTTGCTATGTTATACCATTTAGCACGTAGAGAGTTATTTAGAGCCTTGATTTTTTGAGCAAAACTAGTGGATAGCGCTCTCCGTATGCTCTAAGGATTTGGGAAATTGAGTAGGGCTAGAAAACATGATTCTATAGACTAGCGCTCACTTAGTGTTTGAGCGCTGGCCCCTTTGAGGTTCCTATTTTTGCTCTCCAATGGCCATCATTTTCTGACCGTTCATTTAGAGCTCGAGCTTTGTGACGCGGATAGGTTTTTAAACTCAATCAAAATTCTTATTTTTTATTCCTATTTTAAAGAGATTGTCCCCTAAGACTTCTATACAGGACAAGAGACTTATATAGAGATTTTAGGGTTCAGAGCGACAACTCTAACAAGAGATAACACACCCTTGAGAGATCAAAACTCAAATGTTTCATGGTCAACATAGAATTCTTATGAATTTTGACAATCTTGGACCCTAATCAAACCATCAACATGAAGGATTCAATGGGGAGACTTGAGGATCAACAAGAGGATTCCACAACAACGGATTTTGGATTTTGGATTTCAGTTTGTCACCTTCGAAGCTAGCTGTCAAGACGATTATGATGGATTTTTGGAGTGAAGATTCAAAGGAGGAAGCTTCTAGCCATGAATTAGTTGAGATATAAGACCTCGAACTTGCAATCTAAGTTTAAAACTAGCAGACTAGGTTAGGTGAGCCAGAATTGACTTCGTGGTTTTTCTTGAAAATGTTTCTACATAAAAATTGCTCGTGTCATGGGATTGTCATCTTTATATACTTGTAATTTTTATTCCATCTTGAATGTGTGATTGGATGAATGTATGATTCCCGTGTGGGTTGATTGAGCAAATAAATTCATTAAAATTTGGTTGATCGAAAACTGGTTAATTTAGGTCATAAGGTTTACATCATATAAGGGTTTGATTTTGTAATAGTATGAGTTACGTTTTATTTGGGCATTTCCGTGTTAAAGTTCATGAGGCCTATTCACTCCATCTGGATCATATTGCTTTGCTTCAACGTTCCAAGGTTTAAAAAATGTTTTAAACTCTCAATGTCTACTTATAGTTCTCTCCAATACCCAGCAAAAAACAGTCGGAGGAACATACAAAGAAAAAACGTATGAGTTTCTTGATTTCCAAAGGTATTTTATTTCACAGTTCACTGACTGTGAAAAGGTATGTAGTTGCTCTATTCTTTGAACTATTTTTTGCTCTATTTGTAATGGATCATTTCTACAATAATATCTGCATATATATAATCATCAATCTATTTTATGTATAAATGTAGATATATACCCATCAACGACAAAAATATACATTGGTATCTATACTTGGTTGATGTAGTGAAGTAACAAGTTTTGCTACTTGATTCACTGCCAATGCTGCCCAACGAGCACCGATACATTGTTGTCAAGAATGTGGTTAAAGAACTAGACAGAGTTCTTTAACTTGTCGTACCAAACCACAAGCCAACATTGATCCACTGGCCCATAACTCAAGTGCAGTGGGTTCCTCGGTAGCCTAATAGTCATTATTGTGGAATTTTTGTTATCAAGATGATGAGTACTTCAATTTTGGGTCCATCATTCAGGATTACGATATGATACATTTTTTTTAAGTGAACTAAATTTGTTTTAACATTTTAATTTGTGAACTTACTTAATATACTGTTGGCTTTAGGAGCAATCAAATCAACTTCGCATGGATATAGCAATTAAGCTAGTTACCCATGTATACAATGAACTAAGAGACAAGATTATAACGAAGGCAAGACAGCGGTTCAAGGATGGCAGTCAGAAAATGATAAACCTGTGGAAATATTAGTTTGGATTAAGAAATTCCAAAAGTTACACTTGTGATGCCCCTAAAATCGGGGGTCCCGTTGACAACCCGTCAACTTGCGGAATGCTCGTGAGTATCACTTGAGCCGACATCTCACCAATAATATCCCAATTTTCGGGATTTTAACGCACACGTATAACCCGTGTTTTTTTAATCATTTAATTCAACAGAGGTCCAATGAGCCTCAATATACCTCATTTAACGTCCATTTATATCATTGGAACTAAAGAAAGTGAAGTTCAAAAGGTTAGCAAAACAATTTTGGATTTTTTCAGGTTTTTGGAAGAGCTACCAGTAGGTGTCTACTGACAGAAGTTCTACATGTAAGCTACCGGTAGGTGTTTCCTACTGGACAGGTACTACCTGTTGATTATCAACAGTCGTTGCCTGCTGGACAGGTACTACCTGTTAGCTACCAGTAGTTTTTGTCTGCTATACAGGTACTACCTGTTGGGTATCGGTAGTTATTGCCTGCCAAACAGGTACTACTTATTAACTACCAGTAGTTATTGCCTACTACGGTAGATTTTGTTCAGAATTTCATATTTCATCAGTTTTTGATTTCCAATTCAATCAAAACACTTCTAAATTCATCCCAAACATGTATAAATGTATTTTCTACAATATACATGATTCATACAAGTCTATTACAACTCATTTACACGATTACATGTCCAAAAGGGAATTTATACATAAGTTTACAAAAAATTGGTTTAAAAGCCACAACCCGGCTTTTCTTCACTCTCAAGACCCCAAATGTGTGTCTTCCCTCGGTACAGAGGCTACCACCCCACGCTAGTAGACAATGACTACTCACCTGCATATGCAACAAACAACCAAAATCCATTTCAATGCAAGAATATGCAATTCATGTTGGGACCACCCATGCCATGCCATGAATGAAATAAGATACACTCACGCACCTCAACCTAAGCTTCACCGGCCCTCACCACACTATGCAATGTAAGTGTAAAACCCTTATCATTGATGAAAAACATCCAATGATTATTTTGAAATATAATTCATATGCTTTGAAAACCCTTCCATTGTTGGATGTTTCCCATTCAATGAACATTTTATACAACCAAAACCATGTGTCTTTGTAGGGTATCGGATTCTGGAATCACACCGCTGGCTCCGTATGCCATTACACTTTTCTGAATTTCACCACAGGAAGTGTATAAACCAAGTACCTGGGTTTTTCACCCGAGGGAGTGTCTAGCCCTACTTGCTATACTCGACACAAGTTTTTCTCATGCAACATGCGACTCCAAGGAATCTTCGATCCAACATCTTCGAGT